TACAACACACCCCACTCACAGGACACAACACACCCCACTCACAGGATACAACACACCCCTCTCTACAGGATACAACACACCCCACTCACAGGATACAACACACCCCACTCACAGGACACAACAGCAGGAGGTCCACAGCCAGACGAACATGGCAGGGAACAGATTTACAAGCTTGACTACTGAGGACTGCTTGGAAAGTAGGCTGTTTTTGTTTTGTTTTTGAGGGCATACTGAAAGTGTAGAAAAGTTCAAAGGACATACTGCCGTTGGTGTGTGTGGCAGAGAGGCTGATACGCTGAGATGGAGACCCTGGCAAGTTTTTGATGTCTGTTAAGAAGGTGGTGTACCTGCAGTCTCAGGAGATGAGTCGGGAGGGGCGGCCAATGTCTGGGGATATAGCTCAGTTGGTAGAGTGCTTGCTTGCCTGGCATGCTTGAGGCCTTGTGTTCAACCCCCAGTACTGCATAAGCCAGGCAGAGGGCATTGGGCCGTAATCCCAGCCCTTGGGAGATAGAGGCAGGGTGATCAAAAGTCCAGGTCATTTTCATAGGCCATCCTGGGCTAAAAATCTTGTCGTCTCCTCCTCCTCCTCCTCCTCCTCCTCCTCCTCCTCCTCCTCCTCCTTCTCCTCCTCCTCCTCCTCTTTTAGTTTTAACATATAGTAGTAGTAAAATATCCAAGAAATTTGGGAATAAGTCTGTCAAAAGGTGTTTGTTACCATTGAGGGGAAAAATCATTCTAATGGAAAATTACTAAAGATTTAATCAGGGTTTTTTTCCTGTTTATGGACAAAAAGGCCTAATTAGTAAGATATTATTTCTCCTTGCATTTATAAGTTCACAGCTATGCTAATAAAGAGATCTGCCATTATTTTCATGAAAGTTGGCAAAAGGAAATTCAGATCCATTAGAAGCCAAGAGGCCAGGAATGGCCCTGGTGGACCTGAGTGAGGAGGGGCTGGAGATGGCTCAGTGGGCCAGAATGTTTCCTGTTCTTGCAGAGCAGGGATTTGGTTCTCGGCACCCAGATGTCAGCTCACAACCTCTTTAACTTCAACTCCAAGGGATCCAGTGACCTCTTCCAGTTCCCTCGGGCACTGTGTGTACATGGTGCAAATACATTTACACAGGCAAAACACTCAAACACATAAATAGACATAAATAAATTACATAATGTATTTATCACTTATGCAGTGTTCTGCCTACAGGCCAGAAGAGGCCCCAGACCTTACTATAGATGCTTATGAGCTGTCATGTCAATTTCATTGCCAGAAATTGAACTCAGGACCTTTAAAAAGACAGCCAGTGCTCCTAACCTCTGAGCCATCTTTCCAGCCCAACATAAATAAATTAAAAAATGTATATATATTGCATGAGGAACCCTTCAGAACACCTTTCTGTGGCTATGACAAGGTGCCAGCTCGTGTGGAACTGAACAGGACCCTAGGTTCTGAGAGTACATGGGAGGAAATGGGGAGTCACTGGCCAGAACAGCTGCCCCAATGGAAAGAATGAAATCAGAGCCCTTTCCTGACCTCTGGAAAAAGTAAGTTCTCCATGGGTCAGCAGCAGTGTGTGAGGAACAGAGCTTGAGAACTACTGAAGGAAAGGTAGGCTGTCCCATGACCTTAGTGTACACTTCCTAAAATGTAAACTGCTGACCCCCAGGAAAAGATTGATAGCTGTGAGCACAGGAAGGCCGGGGGAGACTTGTGCCCACTCCATAACACACAGAGCTTGTCTCAGTCACTGCTTCTGTTGCTGTGGGAAAATAACCCTGACAGAAGCCACTCAAGGAAGGACAGGCAGCTTGTGGCTCACGATTTCTTGGGTCAAGACAGCAGGACTTTGACACAGCTGGTTGCACTGTGTCTTTAGTCAAGAAGAAAGTGTAACAGATGCCAAGCCTGATGTGTAGCCTTGGCTCTGCAGAGAGGGGAGGGCTGTGGCAATGGCAGCAGCTTGGAAGCTGGCAGCAGATGCCACTGCACCGTTGGTGGGACTCTCTGTTTTTCTCTGTGCAAGGGGTTTTGTAATTGCTCCTAAGAACAAAAGGTAACCGCTAAGGTGGAAACGCAATCTGTAGTTCCTGCTTTACCGCTGTGGTTAGGAAGAGCCCCTTCCTGGGCCAGGGGAGGGAGAGGGAGTGGTATGCAGAATGTGGGAACCTGCAACCAGAAAGGGTTGAGGCCTGCTTGTTAGGGAGCCGGGGCAAGGACAAAGAGCACGTCTTTCCATTAGCCAAGCATGTGTCTCGTTTGCCACCGCATCTTCTGACAGTGGCATTTTGCTGTAATTATATTAATAGCAAGCCACAGAAGTAAGGTATTTTGGTGATTTTTTTATAAAAAGCTTTTCAGGCAGTGGCATAGCATCGTAGTCCCAGGATTTCTTGAGCCTAAAGGCCAGTCTGGGCACCATGGTGAACCTGCCTACCCCCATCTCAAATAAAACTAATACAAATTTTTCTTTGAGAGCAAACATTGATTTTAAAGATTATAAACTTGCTTACGTGTGTTTTGAGATGGGCCTTGTTATATTGCTTAGAGTGGCCCTAAATTAGAATAATCCATCTCAGCCTTGCAGTAGTTAGGACTACAGCTGTGCCTCCTTACTGTTCCAAAGAGATTTTAAAGTCTTTTTATTTAAATTCCAATGATTATTTGAATTATCTTAAAAATATGTCAAGTCCTGTGCTTGCTGTTTTGTTTTGTTTTTAACTTCGCTAGTGTGCGTGTCTACGAGCATGCACTGTGGCGTGCTTGTGGACTGCAGACAACTTTGTGGAGTCAGCTCTCCGCCCACCTTGTCATGGGCTCTGGAGGTTGGATTCAGGCCGACACGCATGTGCTGCAAACAAACACCTTTGCCCACTGAACAGTGACAGTGGCCAGGCTCTGGGTGTTGACTGGGGTGCTCTGAGCTGCTGAGCCTTTGTTCTGAGTAGCTGTTTCCCAGCAGGTGACATTGACTACAGCACAGTGCTGCTTGGCATGCTGGTGATGCAGGATGTGCAGCTGGGGCTGTTCATTGCCGTCATGCCAACACTCATACAGGCCGGAGCAAGCACAGCTTCCAGGTAAGTGTGCACCCTGGCCGCTTGTCCAGTGGACAGTCGTTTGTTCTTAGAAATGCTACACAATTCCTTTCCCAGCGTGGTGCCTGAACTCATGACACGTGTCTCTTAGCACAGGCTGTGGTGACACCGATAGGCCGATCCCGGCTTTGTGGTATACCGCTGGCCCCTTGCCTGGGATGTTCCACCACTTTAATGCTCTCTGCTGTGATGTGGAGTGGGCTCCCTGTTCTAAGGCAGTCCAGAGACCTAACTGAGTCAATCTGTGTGCCTGCCAAGGGTCCTCAGAAAAGTAGTGATACCGTGTGTGTTTGCACAGGTGTGTTGTGGTGTGCAGTGGTATTTGTGAGAGGTGTTGTGGTGGGTGCCATTGTCACTATATCTATATATCCTCTCATTCCTCCCCCCAACAGCCCTAGGCTGCACCTGCTTGGTCCGTATGGAAGGAAAAGTCAGCTTGTCCGAAAAATTCACTTGTCCGAAAGCCTTTGATCATGTTACACGTCCAGCAGGCCTCCAGAAATGCCAGCCAGGGTGTAAGCATAGTTGGGAAATAGAGGGAGCCCTACAGAACAAAGAGTAGACTGTGTGAGAGACTGAGAGCCTGATCTTGCTTTAACAGGCGAGCTATAGCTTACTCATGTAAATCCTGTGCTTATCTCCAGGAGGTAAGCCTTCTGCTCAGCCTTCTGTCTATAGTTTTATTTATATCAGTACTTATAGAGATAAAAAGCTATTAGACTCTTTGTATGTGTATGCATGTGTGTGTGTGTGTGTGTGTGTGTGCATATGTATCTAGTGTATGTGTGTAGGTGTATGGTCTGTGTTTGTGCTGTATGTGAATATATATGTATGGTGTGTATACATGTGTGTATGTATGTCTATGTGTGTGGTGTATATGGTAAATGTGAATGAATGTGAATGGTGTGTGTGCATGTGTGTTCTTGCAGATGGGGAAGGGTGCATGCAGAGGTGTCCTGCTTTGTTGCTCTGTCTTATCCTTGAGGCAGTGCATCCCTCCGAATCTGGAACTGAGATGGCACCAGCCCCGGCTGGGCTCCCACTCTGACACACAGCACGGGCATGAGCATGCACATGGCCACACCCAGTGATCCTTGGTGGTGGTGGTGGTTGTTTGAGACAAGGTCTTACTATGCAGCTTTGGCTAGTGTGGAATTCACTATATAGACCAGGCTGGCCTCAGACTTACAGAGATTGGCCTGCCTCTGCTTCCGAAGTGCTAGGATTAAAAGTGTGCACCCCCACACCTGGCCTTTTGTTTTGTTTTTAATGGGTGCTAGTTGTTATGTTATAAATATTACTCGCTGCACAATAGGTGTGGTACATGGAAGTTTATTGAGCCTTGAGGGCAGAGAGAGAAAGACAGAGAGAAACAGAGAGAGACAGTGGGAAAGCATAGAAGAGAGAAAGGGTGTGGGTAAGGTACCCCGAGAGAGAAAGTCAGAGAGGGGGAGAGAAACTGAGGCAGAGAGAGCCTGCTGTGATCAGTAGGTCTTTTATATCTGGTGCACGGCTGAAGTATATCTTATACACATCTGGCGGGCAGCGCAGGTGATGTGGTTAGGTTGCTAGGCAACCTAGGAGTGGGATAGTGCATCGGCTTGTGAACTGACTAGTTATTGCAGATCAGGTCTTCATGCTTGTGGAGCAAATGCTTTCACCCACTGAGCATCTCCCTAGCCCTAGTGGAAACTCTTTACATCCTCAAAAGCTGCTTCCATACATAGATACCCAACAACCCACATTACAGTCACATGACTTAATTTTCTAAATTAATGTAATACATAGACTTTCTTTTAGCATTTACAAATAAAAGTATGTATGATTTGGGTCATTTATTTTGTAACATGTTAAAAAACATTTTAAGATTATTTGTAGACTTTGAGGTTATTTGTAGATTATATTTGGAGGTGACATGACATCCCTTTCTTTTCTTTCCTAGCGTCTTCATGGAAGTGCTGCGGATACTGTTTCTGATTGGACAGATTCTCTTTTCGCTAGCTGCTGTTTTTCTTCTATGTCTTGTCATAAAGACTTATCTCATAGGACCGTACTATCGAAAGCTGCATGTGGAAAGCAAAGGGAACAAAGAAATCCTTATCCTGGGAGTATCCGCTTTCGTCTTCCTAATGCTGACGGTAATCCTCAACTGTTGGTGTTGTTCCGTGGCCTTGCATACAGTCTCACTGCAGCCTTGACTGCTGGTCACTTGTTCACTTGAGAAGTCCCTGAAACATTACAAATAAGAGTGCTTGTTTCGTACACATTTTATCCTAGCATGGCCGAACCTATTTGATCATCAAGTACTTTGTGAAAATACGACTTTTAAAACAAGTGTGTGTCCATGAAAAGGCACGTAAGCACATTACCGTCTTAAGCTTCACAAAGGTTTGCATTCTAAATAGCAAGTCAAAGCCTGGTGTGGTGGCACATGCCTTTAATCCCAGCATTCAGGGAGGCAGAGGCAGGGGGATGGCTGTGAGTTCAATGCCACCCTCATCTACAAAGCAAGTCCAGGACAGCCACAGCTACACAGAGAAACTCTGTCTCAAAAAACCAAAAAAAAAAAAAAAAAAAAAAAAAAAGGAAGGAAGGAAATGACAGCAACAACAAAAACAAACAAGGATTGTGTGAGGAAGGGTACCTCTTCGTGAGAAGAGTCGTGGAAGGTCTAGAGGCACCCACACAAAAGCAGAGGTTATGAGCACACACTTTCACTGCACTGTTCAGCTGCTGCACAACACTTTTCCAGGAAAATGAAGGTGTCTGTTTGCTCAGAATCCCATGGGTGTTCATAGCACTCGTATTAAAATAGCCAGTTGTCCTCCAAGGTGAGTAGAAAGAAACTGTGGTACTCTGGGGCTGGGGAGACGGTTCAGTTGTTGAAGTGTCGGCCTTGAAAGCACGAGGACCCTAGCATCCATATAGAGTGTGGACCCCTAGAAAGCCATGTGGTGACAAGTGCCTGATATCCATGAGCTAAGGTGCTGAGGGGCAGATACAGACACATCCCTGGGGCTGCTTGCCATGCAGTCTGGCAGAGCTTCAGTGACATCACATCTGCAAAAGTAAGTAAGCAAAAAGTGAAAAAGAGAGGGACTGTGATTGCAGCAGGCACCTGATGTTTACCTCCGGCCTCCATACGTGCACATATACACACATAGACACATATACACTAAATAAATAAGTAGAAATGATGGTATATCCATGCTGGGGAATCTGCCCTACATTCAAACTGCTAGGCCACACAAGCCCAGTGTGCCTGCAGAGCATCAGGCAGTGTGGAAGAGTTGTTCCTCAAAGGCTGTGCCTGCCTGAGAGAGTCTGTTTGTATAGTACTTATAAAATAGCAACTTGAGAAACTGAGGGAGGAAGGGAACTCTAATGCCAGGAGAGGCTGGCGGGCAGCCTGGCCAAGCCACTGAGTTAGGCAGGATACCGCCCTGGGAACCTAAGTGCTCCTCTTCACACTGTATGTGTCTTGAGAGTAAAGGTTTCAGTTTTTGAAAAGGAAATTAACAAATTATTTCTTTACGTACGGTATTTTATCACCTTGGGGAAGCACAGGACTCGCTTCTGTTCTTGATGACTGACTCTTTCAAGAATGTTACTTATTTAAAAATTCCCCCTGTTCTCTCTATTCCAGAGTACTCTCTTTTTGAAAAGTAACATCCCCAGAAGCTGCCCTGTGTGGGGGGGTGATAAACCAGGCGGAGTGACTCCTCATTGGCACTCGGTTTTCCCCTCTGGTCACTCGGCAGTGTTTGCTGGGCGCCTGCTGTGAGGTGCTGAGTGTGACAGGAGGTGCAGGCTTTTAGCACATCAGATGTTCATAATTCACGTCACGGCTCCAGCCAGGGGTCATGTGAGAGAGCTGCTGCTTGTTGTCTCCCGTGGCTTTCCCCTGGGTTTCATTTTTAAGGAGGTGGAATTTCTGGGCTGTGGAATGCACATCTGGTTACCTTGACTTCGAGTCTGGTTCACCCAAAGCATGATCTGTGACATTAACGTTGGTGGGAAGCCAGCTCTTCCACACCCTCCTGATACTTGGTGTTGTCTGTCTTAACCTCAGCCTTTCTGTTCTGTGTGTTTGCATACACACAGAGTATAATATGTAATAGATTCAGATTCCCATTCTCTTGGGGCTGCTGGGGTCAACTGTCCTTTTAAGCGATACAAGAAACCTGGGATCTGCTCTGGGCTGCCTCTGAATGTCGTCTGGTTGTTTCTTATGGGATTGGTGATTTCTTTATTCATCTGTAGGACCTAAAAATATCTTGCCATGTTTTTTGTCACATTAAAAAAGCAGCTGTGAACTTGATCATAACCTTCAGCATTTTAAACATCTCACTGACTGAGGCCCATGGTGAGGAAGGAAGACGCCAAGGCCGATGGGGAGAGTGACAGCTGTCATTTCGAGGCAGGAAGGCTCAGAGTGTCCCACTGCCCTCCTCTGTTCACCCCATCCCCGTAAGCCCCGGTCTGCTTTCCGCCGCTATGGACTTGCTGCTTCTTGGCCCTTTTATCTACGTGGGATCAGACACCATGTGGCTATGAGGGTCACATGTGGAGCACACCAGTACTTCTGACCGTATGGTTACATAGTGTTCTACGCTACACCTGTGCTTGCTAATGTTTTCTTGGTCATGGCTTGCTCCTAATGACAATTTTGAATAAACTGAGCTGCTTAATTTCAATGTAATCCAATAAGCAAGTGTTTTATTTATGGTTAGCTCTTGCCATATCCTGAATGGATGTTTGCTACTTTGGGGCCATGGAGATGTTGTGTGTTCTCTTCTGCAAGTATCATTGCTTCACTTTTCCCATCTAGAGTCCACCTGGGGTGTGAGTTCAGTCTTTGGTGTTAGGTAAGGGTTTGTTTCTTACATGTGCTTCTAATGCCATGTGTATAAAAGATTCCTCGCCCATTGCTGTATAGTGTAACTTTGTCAGAATCCAAATAGCTGTGTTGTGTGTGTATGTACATGTGTTTGAATTCATTTACATGTGCACGTTTGTAAATACACATGGATGGTGTATGTGTGTACTTGTGTGTGTTTGTAGTGGGTTGATCTGTGCATGTGTCTTTGCTAATGTGGGGGGTTGCTTATGCATGAGTAAGATGTTATTTTGATTTGCTACTGCTTTGCTTCTTAATCCATGCCCGTTCTCACACTTTTATAGCTTGACATCCAGTAGCATTCTGTCCCAAATTTAGCTCTGTCAGGATTTTCAGTTTTATTTATGATATCTTCAGCTTCCTCTTAAGTGTTCAGCTCTAGGCTTTCATTTTTCTCACCTACATAAGTCACTGGCTTCCTAAGTCTGTTGGTCACTTGAGGGAGTATTGGCACCTTCCTGGTCCAGTGTATGCATCCTCACTGTTGGGTCCTTCTGGTGCCTCAGTGGAATTGTGTGTTGGGTATGGAGGTCCTGCCATTTTGTGGCATCTGTGTCTTGATGTTTGTCTTTGTGTTTGATGTCACCGTACATGGTACTTCTTTTTTAAAATGTTTTATATTGGACTATTGCTATTTCCTGTAGTTTTAGAACATCTTTGCAGTTGTTCTGTTGGTGATGTTCCAGAAGCCAGTCTTGAGCTCCATACTTAACAGAGCAAGAGTGAAAGAACTGGTTGACGATGGCCAGCCTTCTGTTCCATCTGATGTGGCTCACGTGTTTACATTTCTGTCCTTTCTGGGCCGGTGGAAATTTTCTCCGGTTCCCTGCCAGCATAGTTGCCTGCTGTTGGTTGTCTGTCTTCTCTATGAGGTTTGGGGTCAGTAAGAAGAATAGTTTTAGTGCTAGAGTATGTATATGTCTCTTTCCTGATGCAGATAAAGAAAACATATTACAAATATTCAAAATAAAGGTTGGAAAATACCTCATTTAAAAATATCACAGCGATCTTTGAAATGTTTGAAATGTTAATTTTTTCCTCCCCAGTACAGTTAACTCAACCAGTGTTGGTCTCTTGTATATGATCTTGCTGGCTACTCATGGCCCTACTGGGGCCTCAGATAGGAACCTGTGTCTCTGGGGTCATGCTCGAGTACTAGCTTTTCTCTCTGTCCACCGTGACTCTTCGGCTGTGTTGGGGAGCATCTAGCTGTGAGCACTCCCTGACAGTAAGTATCGGACTGGCCAGTACCGTGTGCTCCTGTATGAAGCTGATTCCCTCATCCTCAGGTCACAGAGTTGCTGGACGTCTCTATGGAGCTTGGCTGCTTCCTGGCTGGAGCGTTGGTCTCTTCTCAGGGACACATGGTCACCGAGGAGATCATGGCTTACATCGAGCCTATCCGGGACTTCCTGGCCATCATCTTCTTCGCATCCATAGGTACTCCCCCAGTGCTGTAATTCCTTTGATAAGCGTGACATTTGTCTGTTATGTCTGAATATACATTCTTTTCTAGCGTCTGAGGAAAAGTCTTATTTTAATAAGAGGGATAATAGGAGGGACAAGGGGGACAAGAATTAGGTGGTTGCTTGTGAGCTTTCATCACTGCAAAGGTGAGAATGTGGGTAACTATTTAACGTGACCTTTAAGGCCCAATCTTCCTCCTGAGGTCCCAGTGCCAGGGTCTTTGAGGATGCCATACAACTGTGGGAATTGAATGGGTTCTGATCCTAGAAGCTAGAGCAGCAGCTAGGGGAGAGAAGTGTTATGCACTTTGACTTCTCTCTGCCCTCTGCTTTATTGCTGGATGTTCGTATGCTTTACTATGGTCTGCAGAATGAGCGCAGTCCCTGGAAGATGTGGAAACTGAAAGCTAGATTTACATAGAAATACAAAACGCTGTGCATAACCCTGTCTGTTGTGAAGGAGAAACGCAAGGTGGAGAGGCCCATGAGGGCTGAAATGAGAGTACTTACTAGCCACTTTAGTGTTCTGGGTAGGTTTTTAGCACAAGACGTCAGCCAAGTGCAGGATGATCCACATAGAACATGACCCGTGTCTTCCCTCTCGTCTGCACTCTGCTTCACCCTGTGACACCCACTGAGCATGCTCACAGCCTGCTAGTTCTGATGCCCTGGCCTTCTGTTCCCACTGGTTGGTCCATCCTCACTGAGGCAAGCTCCAAGTTTTATCTGACCCATTTCCATATTCCCTTAGGTCGCCTGGCTACTGTGTGCTCACCTGCCATATCTCGGGTCATTGAGAATCCATATTTTTGTTTGTTTTTTTTCTTTGTTTGAGACAGGGTCTCTTTGGGTAGCCATGGCTATCCTGGAACTCAGTATGTAGATCAGACTGGTCTCAGACTCACGAAGAGCCTGCCTGTCTCTGCCTCCTGTGCTTCAATTAAAGGCGTGTGCCACCACACCCAGTGACTAGCCCAGGACTTGCCAGCAAGTGTGAGTCTGAATAGACATTGTACTTGAAGGGCGGTGAGGAGCAAGGGCCAGGGTGAGGCCCACGGTGAGGAAGGAAGACGCCAAGGCCGATGGGGAGAGTGACAGCTGTCATTTCGAGGCAGGAAGGCTCATGGCTTGAGGTTGTGTGGGCAGCAAGTGTGGCGTGGATGCGGCACCAGATCTCTGTAGCCTGTGTTTGACCAGTGACAAGGGTTAGTACTGTCCCAACCTAGTCTGTCACCTGTTATGAGTGATGTTTTGCCAGGACACAGCCACACTCACTCATGTCTGTTATATCTGTAGCTACTTTGGTGCTCACATTAGCTTGGGGTGTTATTACTAAAGACCCCAGACCAGGTCCCTTAAACAAAAGATATATCTCTTATGCCTCAAAGTTTCTTTAATAGAAAGAAAACATTCAAAGACAAACATTCATGAATTCCCTTTCACTAGACACGGTCCTGTCAGTGGGACTCACCCCCCTGTCCTCACACCTTGGTCACCTTCTACAGACTACTCCAGACAGTGCCCTATGAAGAAAGTTTCACACTGAATATGTAGGGCATAGTTCAGTCTATAGCATGCTGCAGTGGTAGATCTGGGGCAAGGTCTCGGTGTCATCTGTGGAGAGGAGAGGACAGGCTGCTGACTGGCACCACCTGTCAGCTTCATCTGGTTCTATGAGCAAGGCAGCATCTGGTTTTGAGTACTCCCGCACTCCTGGAGGCTGCTAACTGGGATTGAGAAGCTTCTGTGAGGCAGGGCCCAGCAGATGATCATTACAGACCAAATGGGATCTGGCTTGGGGGCATCTTGCAGACCTCTCGTCTATAGCCTGGGTATCAGCATAAGGACCAAGAGGCTGACCGTGTGCTTCACTTGGCATGTTTTGTTTACCTGCCTCTCAAATCCATACTTTGAGGTGAGGAAGCAAATACCCTGAGACCAAGAGACCGGCGGGGGCCGGGGGCAGAGCCTGCATAGTTCACCTTACAGTGTATTGAGCGTGTGACGTTCACCATGAGCGCAAACAGCGGCAGCCACTTAACTGACAGCTCACTGCCACTGATGCTTGAGGCAGAGCGGTTGGAATACAGCTTTCCCATCTCACTTTTGTGTGCGTTCTCACTACTGAGTGGATTCTGTCTCCCAGATGTTCCTTCACATATCTGGGCAAGAAAAAGATTCTGTCCACAGAGCAGAAGGGCTCTGGGTTAGGGACCTAGAGGAGTTCTCAGCCTACAGCTCAGGTGCAGGAACTCCCTGTTGGATGGGCTAAACAGATGGCATCATTCAGGAGAGCCCTCATGACTAGGGTAGGAAGCACAGTATTTCCTGGGAGGGGGGGGGGCTCTCAGGAAAGACTGGGGATGGGAGCGGCCAGACCAATGCCCAGCATAGGACATTCCATGGGAGAGAAATGGGTCAGTCCGCAGCTTAGCCTGACCTCCTGTCATTTGGAAAAGAGAGATCTTCCTGTATGACCTGCAGATGGAACTCTGAGAAGACAGAGATTAGGTTCCCCAGATGTGTAGGTTGAGCCTATCCCCCGAGGGTTTGGCCTGGGAAATCTCCACCAGCTGTGGTTGTGCGGGGTAGGATGAATGTCACCGTACCACACAGTGTTCCTGAACTTAGTTATAACTATGTGGATGGGCTGTGACACCAAAAACATCTAAACCATGACCTAACCAAGAAAGTCTGTGTGGGCTGGTGGCACAGGTCTTGGATGTCCAGGGTTATACAGCCTATAGGACTTATAACCAGGTGGCAAGTGAGACTCCAGGAGCCGGTCATGGGCCTAATAGGACATGAGGAACATTCAGGAATGTTTTAAGGCAGCAGTCTGACCTCTAGGCACAAGCTTTGAGAATAAGTTCCTAAAAGGGAAGCTACACCAGATGGAGCCAAAAGTCAAGAGCCCAAAAAGGGCCCGGATGTACAGCTGGAGAGGCTGGAGGGCCAGGTGGATCCATACCAGAGTCCACACCACCTTGGGGAAGCATTTCCATGTCTCAGGAAAGAGGAAACTGTCTATGGAAAGAATGGGAGCAGTCTTGCATTTGTGTTTGTGAGCAAAACAGAACTATGGTCTGTAAGAGCCGAGGCCACAGAGTCTATTGAATGGTTGACTCCAGGGCCAAGAACCCCTGATGGGAAGAAGGTATCTAGACACTAGCATTTTCCTGAGAAGATAACAAAGCTTTGAGTGGACAGAGATGCTCCCACCTGCAGCCCCCGTCCTTCTAGAGGCAATGAGAAATGCCTAGGGCAAGGTATGCCACACTGTTTCTTTCTCATGTAAGCCAAGTGAGAAATGACAAGATGTGGAAGAGTCCCCGAGCCTTCCTGTGGCTGCTGTGCACACACACAAGCTGTGTATGCCTGGTTCAAAGTGTACAGGAGTGCTGGGTCCTGTGCTGTTTGGGGATTCCACTGTATTCTCTGCAGGTGTGGCCTGGGGGAGGAGGGCTGCTGTGTCTCCCTCTTTGCCTCGAGGAGGGACAGGGTTTTGCCAAAGCATTCAGAAGGACTTGGGTTTTGGTTTAGTTCCTCTTTAAGAACGGCTGTGATTAGTGTGCTAGAGCTGTAGAGCTGCAGTTGAGAGGGATCCCGCCGCCCTGCTCTGAGGTGCCTCGCTTCTCTGTCTCCCACAGGGCTTCATGTGTTCCCCACCTTTGTGATCTATGAGCTGACTGTGCTGGTATTCCTCACCCTGTCCGTGGTCATCATGAAGGTACAAGGCTCTCTCCTAGCAGTCCCAGCTGGTGAGACCCATTCGGCTCTCCCTCACACGGCAACACTTCCCCTTGGCCCTCATCTCCAGCCAGCAGCTTCATAAATCCTGCAGAGCCCCAGTGACCTTTGTGCCTGCACATGCCACTGTGTGGAGACACTGCTGATCCACACCTTGGCAGACGCAAGGAAGCAGGTGGTTAGGCTGCTGGGGCAGTGTACTGTTTCAGAACTGAGGTGTTGGGGATTACCAGACGCTAGGGTAGGGAGCATCTCCTGGACCACAGGCTTGTTCCGGAGAAGTCTGAGGAGTGGTCAGTGCCTCTGTCCTGATGGAGATGTGGGTACTTCCAAATGTCCATGCTCATGGCCACAAATTATGGTGTTACCTGTGCTGGTGCCTCCGCCACAGTGTGGCTACCTATGGTATCTGGTGAGTCGCTGGTGCAAAGCCCATTCCCAGCTGCTTACCGGAGAACATCTCATGTGTGGAACGAATCTCTGTCTTGAGCAGTTAATATTTAATGCTATTGATCCTGCTTGCTGGGGAAAGGCTTATTTCTGTCAATGAATCCAAACCTTTTATTTGCCTTTTTGTTCTATATGAAATTCAGATAGCATCTGTTTATTTTGTGCCTTCTGGATATGTGATGCCACAGTGCACTCTCCCACTGGGTTTGTGACCAGGAGCCATTGATGTTTTCCATCTAGGCTCTGTATTCTGAGAGGAATTTTGTCTGGCTTTCGATCATGAGTAGTGACTGGATAAACTGTTCTTCCAGTTTGTATTGGCAGCACTGGTCCTGTCTCTCATCCTGCCAAGGAGCAGTCAGTACATCAAGTGGATTGTATCTGCAGGGCTGGCACAGGTCAGTGAGTTCTCCTTTGTCCTGGGGAGCCGAGCACGGAGAGCAGGCATCATCTCAAGAGAGGTGAGTCTATAATTTGACAGAAGTGAGTGCCTATGGAGCACACTGAATGCTTCATTGCAAACATTCTGGCACAGAGAGAACACCCTCCCCCACCCCCGACTCCCACCATTGCTGACCTGGTAGTCCAGACACATCAGGCCTCAGGGACCACAGCATGCTCTCAGTGGACACTGAGCTAGCCTGGAAGAAAGCCTTTGGTGGGAGTCACGAAAGCTGGACCTGGCTGCTTTTTTTTCATACGCTGTTGAATTTCTTAGGTGAAAATAGTTAATCCTGCTGTTGTCTTTTATATTTTCTATTTGATCTTAGCCAAAAGGCCAAGAAGTGATGTCATTATCTTTTACAGTAATTATAATTAACAGGCCTGTAGTTCCTGTGGTGGGCCTTGAACCCACAATCAGAGCTCCCACTGTTGAACAGGGAGGCCTGTAGAGCGTCTGCAATTCAGTGGTTGTCTCTGTGTAAGGAATATGAGGAAGCAGCAGTGACAGGGACACAGTAAGAGCGCTGTAGAGACATCTCGAATGACTGAGGAATCATTGAACCCGATGCAGAGTTGTGCTGTGCGGAAGGGATGGGTGCAGGCTGAGTCCCTCTGATGTGTGTGGGGCCCTGTAGGGTTCGCCCTCAGGCCAGCAGAGAAACCAGGCTGCTACCCCGAAGCCCGTCAGAACTGACCGCAGCTTCCCATCAATGGCAGTATCCCAGCTCTTCCATTGCAAATGTCCTCTCACCTGTGGCCTCGCCTCTCTGTAACAGTGCTCGAGCTTCTGGTTGACAGTGTACCCCCGACACTCAGTGGGAGCACACTGATGCATGTGTGTCCTCAGGAACTGCCGAAGCTCCTTGCTGAGACGTGTGGCTGTAGGCTTTACCTTCTGGCACTCTTGTGACCGTGCCCATTTGCCTGTTGCAGGTATACCTCCTCATCCTAAGCGTGACCACCCTTAGCCTCTTACTCGCACCGGTGCTGTGGAAAGCAGCCATCACAAAGTGTGTGCCGAGACCAGAGAGGAGGTCAAGTCTCTGACAGCAGCAGATGATGGCGGACTGTGGGGTGGGGATCCTTCACGGGGGTTGCGCGTCCTGAGGTGATCTGTTGTGCACCTCCCGCTGGCCTCCCCTCAGAGACAGGAACACTGACAAAGAGGCAGTGTCCTCGTGTTTGCTTGCGTTTTCAAAAAGCTCCCCTGTCATGTTTAAGAATTTTCCAGAGTAATTTATTTGCAGTCAGTTGATTATATACAGTTTTAACACTGCATTTTACAGTCACCTGAACTATTTTGCCTGGATGTGCCTTTTTTAACAAAAATTATTAACTTCCTCTTGTTAATTCATCAGCTCATGATTTTTGGCAAAGAAGAAAAATGAGAAAGCCTTTTTATTTATTGTACAATTACAGTCTGTTGGTCAAGTGTTTGTTATTAAACATGATGGTGATGGGAGATTTTATTTTTGAGCTAGATTTTATTTTTGATCTTTAAAGTTTCCATGTCCTCTTGCCTCTTGTAACTATTTTAAATAAAACACTTTCATGTTGATTTTTATTGGTTTTACTTTTTAAATAATTGAGTTTGAATCACAAGAGTATATATTCTTAAATAAAGACCATTTATGATCAGGGCATAATTATTTGAAACTTACTGAGAATCTCATATTTTAAAAAAAAAATTTTTTTTGTGGTGTTTTGCCTGCATGTGTATCTGTGTGAGGGTACCAGATCCGCTGGAACTGGAGTTACAGACAATTATGAGCAGCCATCTGGGTGTTGGAAACTGAACCCAGGTACTCTGGAAGAGCAGCTGGTCTCCTAACCACTGAGCCATCTCTCCAACCCCTAAGAATCTCATTTTAAAAAGATGTATTTTTATGGTGTTTTGCCTGCATGTGTATCTGTGTTTAGATTTTTGGTGTTGAACTAATCATTGCACAAAATCTAGCCAATCTTATATTTAATTTTTTATCTATTTCTGTGTGTATGTGCTGCACATATGTACATATGTATGAATATATTATACCACATGTGTTCCTGGTGCCTGAGGAGGTCAGAAGAAGGTCAGATGCCTTGGAACTCGTCATGGATGGTTGTGAGGCACTGTGTGGTTGCTGGGGACCGACCCTGCGTCCTCTACAAGAGCAGCAAGTGCTCTAAACTGCTGAGCCGTCTTGTCAACCCCATCCAATTTTTTTTAATGTTTTTTTTTTTGTTTTTTGTTTGTTTGTTTGTTTTGTTTTTAGACAGGGTTTCTCTGTGTATCTTTGGCTGTCCTGGACTTGCTTAGTAGACCAGGCTGGCCTTTTTTTTTTTTTTAAAGGTTTATTTATTATTTATACAACATTCTGCCTACATGCCAGATCTTACTATAGATGGTTATGAACCACCATGTGGTTGCTGGGAATTGAACTCAGGACCTTTGGAAGAACAGTGAGTGTTCTTAACCTCTGAGCCATCTCTCCAGCCCTGAGGCTGGCCTAGAACTCACAGAGCTCCACCTGCCTCAGCCTCCCAGAGTGCTGGGGTTCAGGTGTGCACCACCGTACCTGGCACCATCCGGTGTTTTTTACAAGCATCATTCATACATCATGAATCATTCTTAAAGACCAAATAAATGGATTTTACACATGTTTACGTTGGAGTCTAGTTATCAGGCACCCTAGAAATGAAGGCCTGGCCTTTGCTAGGGCTTCCGTGTGGGCATAGACGGTCCCTTCGTGATTCTGAACAGACCTGTGACTATATGAACTGTGGGGAACTAGAATGCACTTTTTAGATTTGAGGCTAAGAAGCACAAGGCTGTGGGAGGAAGGTGCTGTCCTTCTGCTTCTGGTATGGTGCCCTGGGGCTGCATGCTGCACAAGGGATCTCAAGTAGAGAAGAGCAGAGGAGGAGCCCACTCCAGAAGCTTGTTGACATCTTAGCTAATCCATCGTGAGGGTGGGTTTCTCTGATTTAAACTTTCCTGGCCCTGCCTCCCAACACTGTAGTATTGGAGATTAACCTTATAACACCTGAACTTTGGGTACAGAAAGATTCACACGTAGTAGGTACTTTATTTTTCAGTTGCGTACATTTCCTGCTTTAGCTGACAGTTATATATATGTATACTGTACAATATAGCTGTTAGTTTAAAAAAGAATTTCTCTGCAAATACTGGTTTTTAGAGCAGGACAAACTGACCATTGTACTCTGAGGTAGAGGGATAGAGTCTTAGATGGGATTATGTATTATATATGCACATAGGATTAAAGTAGTACAGATTAAACCATTGAACTCAATTGGAATAGACTGTGCCTTCTCTTGAATAGAGAACAATATAAATAAGGGCTTTTAGGAAATGGTATTACTCTTCTTTGAGTCATCAGACTGCTGGCTTCATCCCCCTGCCCATGTGCTTGGGGTATGCTAAAGGAGCAAGACATCCTGGCACAACTGCTGGCTAGAAGTGACTAGAATGTTTGTGACATCTGAAGAAGGCAGAGATTGCTCAGAGAGCCTTGCCTGGGAAGGGGCAGTGTGGGGGATCCAGAAGAGAGGACTCAGGGAGATCAGTCTCGGTGCCTTCCAAGAGCTTTGTCATCCGCTGAGAGGGGCCTGTGCTTCGGAGTAAAATGCATTCATGGAGTTTTTGCTGTGGTAAAATGCTGCAAAGGTGTGGAGGCGGATGCACCCAAGATACTGTATTTCTAGAAGATGAGGTAGCAGTCAGAGAGGGAAGTATGTTTGGTTTGTCTGCCTTTCACCAGCCCACATCCATCTTGCATAGTCTACATACTGCACACTGGTCAAGCCAGGGCTGGATAGATTCAGAGTTAGGGATTTCTTTCTGTCACCCACTTGAGCATGTCTGGGGTAGCTGAGGGAGTGGAGCCTTCCTGAAGTTGGTTTCAGAAAAGCGAAGACACTTGGAATACTTGGAGACCCCATTAAGAAGATGAAGGGGAGGAGAGATGTGTGCAGAAAGGCCTGGGAGAAGCTGGCTTCAGAATGAAATATAGAGGAAAGAAGATGGCTGCAGTCACATTCCTCCTGTGTTTCTGGGGCCTGATAATGGCCACATGAGCCCTCACAAAGGACTTCCTGTTCCTGGGGGGGAAGGCATGAAAGGTGGAGCTGCAGCTAGCACCTCTAGGTAGGAAGGAGGCAAAGCCCAGAACAGGACTGTGGCCTGGAGGAACAACGCTGCTTTACACAGGAAGAAGTGGAGGCGAGGGTACCGTGTGATACTGTCAGTGAGCACAGGTTATCCCAGCTGGACACAGATAGCGTGGGATTTTAAATTGTCCTATCCTGATAGTGTTGAACTTGTATTGGGGACTTTTTTTCCAAAAATTTTCTTAAATTATTCTTAAAAGGTAGATTAAAAGGCACTTTACAGAGTATATTGTTTTGTTTTTTTGAGACAGGGTTTGAGACAGCCCTGGCTGGCCTGGAACTCACTTTGTAGACCACTCTGGTCTCAAACTCACAGAGATCCTCCTGCCTCTGCCTCCCAAGGGATTAAAGGCATGTGCTACCACACTGAGCTAGCTTTTAATAGTGTGTGTGTATTTTTTTTTTTTTTTTGAAACAAGGTTTTTCTGTGTGGCTTTGGCTGTCCTGGACTTACTCTGTAGATTAGGCTGGCCTCAAACGCATAGAGATCCACTTGCCTGTCTCCCCAAGTGCTGGGATTACAGGTGTGAACCACCACGCCCGGGTCTCTTTTTATATTTTTTGTGTACATTGGTGTTTTGCTTTTATGTGTGTCTGTATAAGAATACCAGATTCCCTGGAACTGGAGTTATAAACAGTTGTGATCTGCTGTGTGGGCACTGGGAACTGAATGAAGGTCCTCTGGAATTACAGAGAGGTACATTACAGAGTTAAGACCTCAGAGATCTAGAAGGAAACTTGCCCAGAGCAAACCGGATTGTTTGCCCAAGCAGACTGCATGTGGAGGCTCAGTGGAAGGGCTGGCTTTCTGCGACCAGCCCCACAGCTCTGGCTCTGCCTCAGCTGATGTGCACTAACACCGTGAAGAACCAGACTTGCTGTGGGTCCTGCAAGACTGTCAGGTTTCACCTTCTTGCTCATTTCAGCTGAGTAACAGTTGGTCTGTTTGACCCAAAAAGTACACCGGACAGTGGGAGCTAAATTTCAGCGGTGAATGACGATTGCCTGTACACTTGGAAAATTTTTCAAATAGATCCTTTGGGTAGCCATATCCCCCATCTCCCAAACCCCAACTCTCCCTAACTTCCCCCTCCCAACACACACACACAAGATGATCTGGGAGTTTACCTAAAACCAGTTTCCAGTGCCTTACACCCCTCACATGCCTCATGATTAAAAAAACGAGTGCCGAGTGAGGGCACAGTGTAGGAATTTCTTAATTGTTTTTGCTTGATATTTCCCTGCAGTGGTTTTTTTTTTTTTTAATTTATGAGAATGTATAAATATGGCCTTGACTTTGCTGCCCAGGTGTCAAGTAGAACAGTGATTCTATTTTCAACTTTCAAACATGCATTTGACCCAATTATCAGGTCTGAAATACCTTCATGTTTGCTAGTTAGGATAAAACCTAATTTTGAGATAACATCTTGCAATTACTTTCCTTTAGTACCAGTGTTCTCACCATCTATATTTTCTGTGACCCAGCCATTTTAGACTGAGTACACACAAAAACATTTTCACTCCCTTTCAAAGGAGGTTTGAAGTTTCTGATAAAACCAAGTGTAGTTTTACATGCCAATCCAGCAGTTACCTTCTCTGACATGTACCCATGTGAACTGAGACTTGTGTCCATAGAACAATCTGCACATGGTAGTTTAGAGCAGATTTTCATAATTGCCAGAACTCAGCCCAGAGTCCTTCAGTGAATCAGTAATTTGTGGTGCATCCAGAGAGTGAAACATGCAGCACCAAAAAAATGGGCAGTCGAGTTGTGAAAGTACCTAAGGGAACTTTAAATGACATAAAGTGAAGAGACTGATTAAAAAATATTGCATCCTTTGCAGACTGTCTCATTTCACCTATATGACATTCTGAAAAAGACAAAACCATTGGGACAGTGGTTGTGGGGCCTCAGGAAGTGTTGTGAGAGGGTGGATAGGGATCAACAGAACACAGAGGACTTTTAGGGCAGTGGATAGTTTGAATGAAACTCAAGTATGATGTAAGGTGGTTTCATGCCAGGATGGCTTTTTCCAAACTCAGAGTGTATAATAACAAGATTGGCACCTGTCAGGCGTGGTGGTTAATCCCAGCACTCTCGAGGCTGAGGAGGGAGATCTCTGTGCCTTTGTGGCCAGTCTGGTTAGATCGCCAGTGCCAGATACTGACACACTGTCAGTATGGCAGCATACTGACACACTGTCTCAGAAAAAAAACAAACCAACCAACCAAACAAACAAAAACAATCAAGAGGAGAACCTGATACAAACTATGAACTCTGAGTGATAATTATAAATCATTATATAGGACCACACCTAGCTCATAAAAAAACCAGATTGCCAAGTTGTAGCAAAAAATGCCGAGACTTTTTATTGAGGTATCATGGAA